AGTCCCTGCTTTCAGTTCCTTTGGGTCTATTCCTAGGAGTGGAATTGCTGGGTCATAGGGCATTTTTCTGTTTAGCTTTTTGAGGAAGATCCTGAGATTTTTGAAGTGCTAAGGCAACAGGCATCTAAGAAAACGGCCTTGCATTTTGTAGTTCACTTCCCACCTCCTCTGGAGATCCAGTGGCTGTTTACTGAGTGGAGGGAAGAGTTTCTTTCACTTGTCCAGAGGATCAGATCGCCCCACCCTTTTCCCTGGACACCTCCTGAAAAGCAAACTTCTTCTATCAAGGTTGAGGTTTAAGCATTAACAGGTGTTTGCCTCCACAGTCCTTGACACATGTAAGCTCAATTTGCACAAACACGTTTGGGAGGGATGGTTTGTAGCCCTCCAGGCACCTGCTGAAACTGGGGGCGGGGATGGGGGCGAGTAAGACGTGCATCTTAATGACAACTGGTCTGTGGAATTGCAGCTATGGGGTGCCTTCCTGAAGGCCAGGGTTATAAGGGATTGCTGCATTCCTGGGTAAATTGGACCCCGATACTGGTAGACGAAAATCTTGGCAGTATTTCTCATCACAGGGACACGGCATTTGACCTGGCACAGAGTAGAACTTCCCACCAGCTTCTGTGTGTTTATCCTGCTTGCTATCGAACACCTGGGTATTTGGAAAAGTCTGGATTTTTTTTTTTTTTTTGCAGCGTGGAAGCCAAACATCCAGGTGACAGCCTGAGTCTTTGACCTTTCACCTAGGTGTTTTGGTATCACGCAAACCAAATCTGCATTCCCAGTCATTGCTTGGAGGTAGCTAGGAATTCAACAGGCACCTTGAGAGATTTAGTAACAGAGAAATTTTGAAAAATACCTGTTGGGGCCACCTTTTGTCTCTCCATCGACAGGGTATGCAATGTGTGTGGAATCCAGTTTTTTTGTACCACACTCGAGAGTTTAGGCCATCAGCTTCGATCTGCCTTGTTTCTGTATTGAAATGTTATTTTTAAAAGTCTGCGGTGACGAGAGTTTTGAAGCCCATGCTCTCCTAGTCTGTTACTTGGCAGATGAAAAATAATGATGAATTCCACAAAGATTTGGCCAAGGGCAGGAATGAAAGTAAAGAACTGTGCTTGTGTGGGTGGGCACGGGATTTCTTTGCTCCCTGGCCTCTGTGCTTGGTTTGCCGGAGGGACAGAGGCTGCGGCTTAGTGGCAGAGCGGCACCTACCGAAAGGGTGTCGGAGGAGCTGTATTATTTTACTTCTTGTCATGTGTGCGAGCGATTTCTGCTCAAGTTTGAGAGGTGAAAATGAGAAGAAAGTAAACAACATTCATAATCCCACTACTTAATTGTATAACGTGCATTGCTAACAATTTGACATTCTTTCTGATTTTAGTGATGTCCACACAAGTCACATTTATTCCTTCAGGCCTGCAGGCTTCTACAGGATTGTGCGTGTGTCTGTATTTTTTTTTTTTTATATAAAATGGAATCATGAATACACTTATTTGCATTCAATCTGTTTTTCATTTATCGATAATTATATATTGATATCTTACCAGGTCTGAACATAAGAGTGCCTCATTCTTTTTATGGCTGTATACTATTCCGTTGGAATGAACTGTACATTAATTCACATAGGATAAACTATGTTTATAACTCTCTTCTTTGATGGATTCCAGTTTTTTGCTGTTACAAACAGTGCTTGAAGCAACAGTTTTGTTCATGTGCCTAGAAGTAATTATGCTATTTTCTGTGGGCTGGATTTCTAGAAGTAGATTTAACTGGGTCCAAAAAAATCTGCATTGCTAATTTTAATAGGTACGACCAAATTATTTTACAAAAAGGTTTTTCTCAATTTATGTTCCCATTCTCAATTTGGTCTCTATTTTCCTACACATTTACCAAGTACTGAATAACATTGATCTATCTAATTTTTGTTAATCAGCTGGTGAATAGCAGTGTCTCATTATTGTTTTAATTTGCATTTCCCTGGTCGTAAATGAGGGTAGGCATCTTTTCATATGTTTATTGGGTATTACCTTCCCCGTTGTGTGAAAGCAAAGATGGGGTGTGTGCATTTAGCCTAACTGGCAAGAGAATTGTAGCACTGGAAATCTGAGGAATTTAGAAAGACTCCTTGAAGGGCATATCTTACATTTTTTTTGGAAAGATAGTTTCTTTAGGTTTATACTAAATATTGCTGTAGAAACAGAGTGATTGAAAACAACTCAAACTTTGTGCTTTTGTTTGCCATCTTTTTAAAGTTCCTGTTGCATAGCCTCAGTTTGCTATTAAGCAGCGGCTGATTAATGGTAGGATATCCCCTACAAAGGTGTCCAGCGTTTCAAATGTTGGTGGCTTCCAAGGGCATCCATTTGGAAAATGCCACAGCTCATAAAATTTGGGATTGGTGGTATGTCAAGGAATCAAATACTGGGGCGATGGTGTAAGAAAATTAATATTAACAGCACTGCAGGTGGCAATATTGATTGAGTACCAAGGTTTCTGGAAGGGCAGAAACATCCTGTTTGGTAAATGTGCTTCTCATTGTAAAAGCATTTGATAAATGTTAACTTATTAAATATTTGTGGTACATCTCCAGGAAGTAAATATTCAGGGACCACGTGCCCTTGTAGAGGGATCTTGCTTGGAATGCCATGGCCCCAGTGAGAGACTCAGCTGACCATATGCCCTGGGGTTAAAAAAAAGGGGGGGAGCAGCATGCTGAGCTGCATATGCCAAGATTTAATGTCTGGGCCAGGGAGCCAGTGTCCCTCCCTGTGCAATTCAGGTTCAACTCCATTTGGAATTCACCATGTGCCAAATCTGGATCCAGGCTGCAAGAAAGACATTGACAGTTTGGATGGGGTCCAGAGACAGGCACTGGCCGTGATTAAGGGCTTATGGGCATGACATTTGAGCGGGGGCTCAAAGAACTGAATATTTACAGCAGGGCTAAATGCTGGATTACGTGGCTTGGTGACGTCAGGGCCTGTGGCTATATCCTAAGTTACCCGCCATGTGACTGGCTCCTCAGAGTCAAGCAGAGGACCATGTCTGATACCCCTAAGAGCTTGGGGTGGGGGGAGAGGGTCTCCTTGTGGGCCCATCTGCCTCCAGTCCAGTCAAAAGGCTCATCCCTGCCTCTTCCGTGCTCTTAGCAGGGCCGCTGCAGAGTAGCACCAGGGCCAGGATTTAGATCTAGGATTCCCGTCACGCTGGAAAACTTAGCAGCCACATCTCCTCCTCCTTCGGAACACCCATCCTGCATGGCAGGTGCTCATCTCTCCTAAGGGGAGACCTCGCCTCTCGTTTTGGTTCTCCTACAAGTCTGTGGCTCAGCCAAGAGCAGGAAGTGGGTCTCCTCTGACGCAGGGTGCAGACTCTCCACTGTCCGTCAGCTGCCTTCAGACTCATGTCCCCTGTGGCAGCGAGGCTCAGCTCCCCATCACCAGCTGCACCACGTTGGATGCTGATGCAACCGTGACAGCAGCAGCTGAGCAAAGTGACTGCCCAGGACTGTCCTAACCTAGCGCTGCTTGTGTCCTGTTAGGAAGGAAAGAGTGCAGCCTCCACCCCAGTGGCCCTGCATGAGACTGTTAGCAGTGAGCAGCGATCTTGCTTTGAACGCAGGGGTGATCACTCCGCTCTGCAGCGATGGCTTGTGCAGGGCTGAGCGGCCAGCGTGGAAGCAGTGGGGCTGCCGCTGCTCCTGTCATGTCGTACCCCTGTGGGCAGGCCGGTTGCTGGCGCTGCTTTGCACAGTGGACAGCACTCTGCCCTCCCCTTTTTACAATGCAGCAGCTGCAAGATGGTTTTCTTCATTCTCTAGTTTAGTTCCTTGAATCACTCACGTGCTTGCGAAGGCTCTGCCTGTATTATCGGTTTTTCCGTGACTAAGGCCCCAAACGCTTGAGATGCCCAGGGCACCGTGGAGAAGGTCAGTTGAAATTCCCGAAATGATAGTTAAGGTTAGTAGGTCCTGGCTTTTTGGGTTTTCATTTCATTTCTCCAGAGTGCCTTGTCCAAAATACCTGTAAAGGGTGATTTGGATAAAAATGTCAAAGCCTTGTACCGGGAAGATACTGAATGTTGCATTTTGTCCTGGTAAGCAAAACTCATGCTTGTTTGAAAATTTGAGTCTATGGAAATATTTTAAAAGCACATCAGTCTGTGCATCGACAGAACCATGGGCAGGAATCGCACTAATTTACTTTCACATGTGCTGCTTATCTTTGAAGTCTTAAGCAGTGCGTGAAGAGATGGATATACAACTTAAGTTTCATGAGGATTCATTGCCCCCATATTTGGAATTCTGGGTATGTCTCTTGGGAACACGTAACGTCTCTCCAGCCACCAGCACCAGAAGCGGGAGAGGCAGGCCTGAGTTCCCAGCTGAAACTCCTTGAGACTTCCAGACACCGCCGGGGGGCCCTGGGGAAAGAGATGAGGAGCTTTCAAACCAGAAGCCTCCAGGAACGAAACTAGTGCCTCCCACACGCGCTCCTTGGGAGAATTAAATGAGCTAAGGCAGGAAGAAGGGCTCAGAGCAGGGCCTGGCATACAAAAGTGCTCACTAGTGTTGGCTCTAGACGCTTCCTTGGTGCTTTAGGGGCTGAGGGTTCCCAGTGGATGGCAAGCCGGTTGCTCAGCTGCCCAGGGGCACTGGTGCTGTGCAGGCTGGAGTTCAGGCCCCCTGGCCCCTCCTGGAGGGTCTCTCAAATCTACGGCAGGGACAGACCTACCCTGCACCCCCCCTCCGAGTCCTCCTGCCCATCTGCATGTGCCAGTATTCACTTCACAGGCATTCACCATCATGGTGATGACAGTTTCCATTTGTCACCATGCTGAGTACTTAGTATTAGGAACGTTTAGAAGTCGGGTGATTCTTCTCTTCTCTGCCTTCCCTGCCTGCTCCCACTTCTCTTTAAATCAAGAAAAAGCGGAGTACTTTGTATCCTGTGCCGAGATCGTTAAATCACCCACCTTTACCTCGGTCTTTCCAGGTACGCAACCAGCACTGGAGCCTCATCATGGAAAGTGTGGTCCCGTCTGACAAAGGCAATTACACCTGCGTGGTGGAGAATGGCTACGGCTCCATCAATCACACCTACCACCTCGATGTCGTGGGTGAGTTTGCTTCTCCTGGCGGCGGCAGCTGCACACCGGCCTGTCCTGGCTCGACTCATTTGGAATCGTGAAAGCGAGTCTTGTTTTTCCCAGGAGTTTAAGGAGAATTGGTGTATTCTTACTCTTTTTTCACACACCGCTGTCATTGGAGAAGGATTCTCTGCCATTTGACAGTGCTCTGTTGTCCGATTAACCAGGCCGTGGAGCCTCGCGGGGTCATCCTGTGTAAGATGCATGTGGTATGAGATGACTCTGAAGAATGTCAGCGTGCACAGGAAAAGGGTACACGTGCATGGTAGGAGGGCTCTGTTTTTAAAAGAGAGGCAACATTGCTCCAGGAGGGACAAGTGTAGGATGCTGGCTGAAGACTAAAGGGACAGGTATGAGGAGTGAGCCTGCAGCTGGCTGGAAAAAGGGCCCTTCACTTCCCTGAGAAGAAAGTCATTAGTAGACAGTGCCAGCTCACTGTCTGTTCCCAGGAGCCATTTCCCCCTGTGCAAAGGGCACCATATATGTGAGCTTAGAAGTACCTTTTAGTCAGAGTGCACAGGTAACTAGGCCATTTTAATTAAACATCTTAAGGCCAAATTTCCTCCCAGGTTTTGCCTGTTACGATGAAGTTTTTGTTGTAACTGATGAAGAAAGGGTGTTTTCTGCCTTGTTGGAGGATCGCTAATGTGTGGACCTACACCTGGGACATGTCATTGTTGCAGGGATGGTGGGTCACGACCTCATCCACGTAGGAGTCACCTTCTCTCTGTGTTGTCACATACTGTGGTTCTCTACCTGCCACCACGAGCTTTTTGGGTTTGCCCTTGTCCACATGCAGGTTGCTGACTTCTGCCGAAGTCTCAACCCCAAGTTCACCCTGATTCATTTTGCCTTCATGTGACTGTTGGTGATGCCACAAACACACGCCCAACCCCTGTGCCTCTGTCAACAACGTTGGTCCTACGTCACTGCCTGTGTGTGTGCCCTGCCACTGTCTCACGTGTGGGGTTTCTTCTCCTTCAATGAAATGTACTCTTTGAAGAGAGAGACCCCATAGATATTTGAATTGTCCAAAGGGCCCCATTAAAAGAAATTTCTGAATGCTTGATTAACCAAATTGCATAGATTTGTGCAATTTAAATTTTAGGTTAACAAAATTAAACTGAAAACCATTTTGATTTTCTATCAAATTAAATCTACAAGACACCCCTGCCTTAGACAGAATGATACAGTCTTTACGTCCATTTGCATATAAGCATTCAGTGAAAAAAAGTATTTATTTGAACAGTTTAGTCTTGTTATTCGAAAGGCTTAATGTGAAATTGGATAGGTCTTTGGATGAAGTTGATCCTGTGGATATTCATAAGAGTGAGTCTTAGAATGTCTTTTCTTGTAAAGATACTTGTGGTATGTTTCTTAGTGAGAATTACTATGTTTAGCTATTTTACAAGACAAACACAAAGAGAAGCAACACAGTTAGTTATGAGATCAACCAAAATGGCTAACATTTGTCTTGGCATTGATGCACCATAAATCCGTCGGTCAAAGAGCACAGGACTTGGAATTTACCTTGGGCCTCATGGATACTGAAATTGACATGAAAGTGTTTCTATTTTGGTGCAGAAAGTTAGATTTGGAGCTAAACGTTCTAAATACCTAATTTTGAAATTAAGTAATTTATTATGGGAAAAAATAATTGTGCTGTAACAGTCTTCTGGGATTGTGGCTTTATATAGGTCTACAAATCTACAAATCGTTCATTAAGATTGGCTGGGGCCATGCCAGGAATCTGGGAGCCATGTCAGGGCCACTCCAGGTTGAGTTGTTATGTAAAACATGCAAAAGCCCCTCACCCCACCTCCCCTTTTGAGCTTTCTGGCAGCTCATCCCTGTGAAGCCCTGAAATCTCTCTTAGAGTTTAGGGCTGGGATTTGAATTGGGCTGCTGAATAATGGAATTGTGCTGTCTAATGTTAATCCCCTGGCAATCGGTCTTGTTGAAAAGAGCGTATGATTCAGTGGTGTAACGTGGAGGGAGCGTGGAGTGTATGGAGTAATGCAGAGAGAGGCCTGATTATGTCACAAATTTGGGAGATCGCCCAGCTACACGCGGGCCAATAATGACACAATGCTGGTTGGGAATATCCATTAAAGCTCAACTCCAATAATTTTCCAAGCCTTGAACCTTCTTTATAAATAGAAGCCAAAAGTCAGTGGAGTATAAGACATTTTCAGCAAAGATGGAGGTGTGAAATACTCTCATCTCTGCTCAAAACCCTAGTAATTGCTTTGAGAAGCACTAATAAAATAAGAATTGAGTCAGCTAAAGAGTCTCATGTAGACTTACAGGGTTGGCAGTCGTTCTGAACATCTCGGCAAATGGAAACAAAAAGGATTCATGCTTAAGCAGTGAGTTTCTGGTGGCCCCACTGGCTCGAATTTAAACATCGCTGTGTGATCACAGCTTTTCGGCTACCTCTCTGTTTCCCAGAAAACCAGAAACTCTTTCCCAGCGAAAGTGACGTCCTGTTCCTGTTCCCATTCTTCGAGGTTTTACCTTTGTTGCTATGGCGCGTAGATTTGTGGTTCTGATATTACGAAGCATCAACATGGGTGAGATCTTTTTATTGTAAATTCTTCCTTGGAAAAGGCATTCCCTCAGGCGCTTTAATGTAAAAGCCGTGTAATTTAAGTGACATTCTTGTGTTCTGGAATTAAACAGCGGGCCATTGTTGTGTGTGAGGGAAATGCTTTCATTTATGGGAGCCCTTTTAGGAGCCTTGCTTGATCCTCATTAAAATTGACACCATTACTTTTCAGCTATTTACTGCAAGGGAAAATTAGTGTGACGCCCTGCATTTCGGTAATTGTGGCAATAACAAAATGGGGTCCCCTAAAGTAGCTGGCTGCAGGGGGGTGGTAAGTCTCTGCCCCCGTTCATCAGCGAGTGGTGCTGAAGGCCTGGGTTCTGACGGGGCCCTGCCACCAGGAAGCCACAACCTGGGACCGGTTATTTAGCTTTTCCAAGCCTCTGCTTTATCATTGGTGCAGTTGGAGGGATGCTACTTGCCTCATTCCTGCAGTGGTCATATTCATTTCCTAGGGCTGCTCTGACACATTACTGCAAGCCGGCTTAAAACAGCAAAGATCTATCCTCTTGCAGTTCTGGAGCCTGAGAGTTCAAAATCAAGGTGTTGCAGGTTTCATGCCTTCTGGTGGCTGGTGGCCTTCCTTAGCTTGTAGATGCGTCACTCCAACCTCTGCCTCTGTCTTCTCGCGATCATTTCTCTGTGTGTGTCTCAAATCTCCCTCTCTTTCTCTTGTGAGTACACCTGTCATTGGATTTAGGGCCCACCCTAAATCCAGGATGAGCTAATCACATTATTTTTAGCTTATTTGCAACAACCTTTTTTCCCAAATAAGGTCATGGTCATAGGTTTGGGGGGTTAGGACAGGGATGGCCTTCTTCGGGGCCGTAATTCACCTGCTGCAGTGGTTGCGAGGCGTCCTTGCGGTTAGCAGATGAAAATATCCACCTGGCATGTGGGTGGGCCAGCAACAGATGCCGGTTTCCTCCCTTCCATGCCAGGATTCTTTTGAGGGTTAGAAGGCATCTTTCATAGCTTTTGCGAGACTCAATCAGAGCTCTTATTCGACAAACAGAATGCCATTTGGGACCAGCAGAACCGGCCAGCGGCTGACATTCACATCTCCTGCTGAGACTTCCACCTCTGGTCGGTGCTGTGGTCGAGGCTGTCCCAAGGCTGACGTGGTGGCTGGACTTGCAGGAGAGCGTCGTGGAGTTTGAGTACTTAAAGCTCACTGAGTCGGCCTCTCGACCTCCGCCTGTGCCCCTCACCCCGCTTCCGGGTTGAGGAAACGCAGGTCCCGCTGGGGTAAGTGATTTGCTGAGGACTTGGAGAAGGTGCCTGGAGCTGGGGCCTCGGGCCGGGTCGTGTGGACGCCCACCTGGACGAATGAGTGCTCCTCGTGCTGCAGCCCGTGGTGACAGTGGTGTGGACCAGCAGCGCCTGCTGCAGCCAGACTCTGAGAAGCTGCTGCCACTCCTGACCCCACTTCCGGCTCTTTGCTGCAGAAAACAAACACGTGAGAGAGAAAGGTGGAAGTCTTCAGGACACCAGGTGCTCTTCCTCACTCACAGAGACCCCTTGGCTTTGAATCATGAACTTCTGCCCCTTTGGGGTGTCGCAGGTCTGCATTTCCACTGACCGCCAGATGAGCTTTCCGCCTGGCATTTGATATTTTGGGGAGCAGAGTTCAGTGGAGGTGTGAACAGCGCCTCTGGATTTGCCATGGCCAGCTGTGCCTTCTCCGTTTACCAGTTTAACTTTCCAGAAATTTGTCCCTGCCCTCTGCTGTGCCCCCCGAGTGACAGCTGTAAGCAGCAGGCAGCGTCTCAGGGGAGGGCTGGGGGCCTGTCGGGCCACGCGTCACCTCTGGCTGGGCGGAGACCGCTGAGGCGTCCCACCAGCCCCGACTTGCCTGGCGGCAGACCGGGACGGCGCTGTCGACTCGCCCCTGACATGTCCGCCGTGTCGCAGCTCCGGACGTGATGGGACACAGCCGGAAAGCACAACGGAACCCGTCCCGGCCCTGGCCCCGGTCAGGTGTGTGTGGTCAGGAGGAGCGGAGCGTCTTTTATTCCAGACGCTGACTGATAAGCCCGACTGTGGAGTTGACACCGGCGTTGGCGGGAGAAGGAGAAATTGTGCGAACTGTTTACTGCTTGGGGCAGCCCTGTCCCGGGGAGACGGAGTCCCCAGTGTGGTCACAGAGCAGAGGAGAGGGGACAGAGGCAAGTCAGGGTCCTTTAGGCTACCCTGCGGTGTGAAGTTGGGAGTCTCTATCGTGGGTTTGGAACAAAGTAGTAGCCAAGTAAATGAAGACGTGGTGGCCTCGTTAATTAATTAACCAGTGAGTTTATTAGCAAAGCTGTCAGAATTGCATCCTTCCTGCTCACTTGGCCCTGGCAGAAGGCCACTCTCAGTC